CCTGTGCCATGCCTCATGTCCCAGTGCAGATGGCACTGGGCTGAGGAGGGCCAGTGGGACAAAACAAGCTTAGCATCCCGGGGCCAGCCCCAAACCCCAGTGCTGTGGCCCCCAGGTTGCCCCTTCCCACACTATGTCTGTCCAAGGGCCCCTGGGGGTTTGGCCCTCCCTAAGGATGGAGACGCTGCCACCTGGGGCTCACCCAGCCCAGCACTGCTTGAATCACCTGTAATGAGCTACATGAAGTAGCTGAGGCATGATTAGAAGGGAATCCACTATAGTGAAACAGGCCCTTAATTTTAATGAGCACAGCCCTCTGGACAAATGCCAAGTACCTGATCGCAGCAGGACTGGCTGTGCTGGCGACAGCTTCTGTCACCGTGGAGGGGGCAGCCCCAGTAGATGCAGCTCCTGCCGTGCCAGTCCCCAGCGAGAGGGCATGAGGATAGAGCAGGCAGTGAGGAATCCTTCTGCCCACAGGATGGGCAACTCCTTGAGCACTTCCCAGTGTGCCTCCACTGCCTCAAACAGCAATTGCAGCCATTCCCAGGGAAAAGCTGCATTTCCAAGAAAACAAACCATCCAGCTGGGGAGTGGAGTGGTTGGAAGTAAGCCTTGTAGTGCAATGGGACATGTGGCCTCACTGCTGTCACCTTCTCCCGAAGCATCTCTTGTCTGGAAATGCTAGAGGTGAGGCAACATCTGGAGAAGGGTGTAACCCTCAGCATTTCTGGATAATGTGCCCTGCTTTGTTCCTGGTCATTTGCTCATGATCCCCTTGCTGGGAAAATGGACTGGTGGTACCCATCAGTGAGGCCAGGCAGGGAACACACAGCCCTTGCTTTCCAGCATTCAGTCCCTGAGTGCGGGCAAGCAGGCTGGAAAAACAAAGAAGGCAAAATCAAAATCCAAGCAAGCAGCTTGCCTCTTCCCCCAGCCCCAGAGCTTCAGGCCAGTGCCAGTGCCAGGGCTGTGTGTCTTCAGAGGGGACACCCCTGGGCATAGCCAGGTATGCTGACACCCAGTGCAGGGAAAGCCCCACAGGCAGGCACACACCGGCAGCAGCCCTGCCTGCACTTACAGCTACCAGTTCTTTCCTTCTTTGTCAAAAGGCTCTGTTTTCTCTGAGCTTGGCCAGAAAGGCCCCTGACCAAAGCCGCTCACACCATCCAGAGAGGTTCGGCAGTCTGTTGGGCCATGAGTCAGGGTATTGGGTGCAGGCACATCCTGGCATCTCCCCGTCTGCTCCTTCTCAAACAGAGCAGCTTCTCCTGCCTTCAGCTGCAGACAGGAGGAAATGTTTTCTGGGGCTGGATCCCACTATGTGACTGGCAGAGCTGCTCCTGCAGGACAGGCAGCAAAGCACCACTGTACCCTTCCCAACAAAAGCGCAGGGGCTCATGGGCACTGCACTTCGCCTTGCTATCCCAGCCCTCCCCTGGCACAGCCACACTTCCCACACCCTCCCAGAGGTCAGCTATAGAATTGATGAATGTTGCCGGGGCTGAAGTAGCTCTGACATGTGGTTTAGCACAACCTGAAGGGACCCAAGCAGGGCTAGAGAAGCAGGTTTTGCCTTCCCTGCTGGCAGGCTTGATGCTACATTTGCAGAGAGGCACAGGGGAACAAACTGAGGGGGAGAACAGCACAGCAGCAGCTTGGGTTTTCCCCAGTTTGAGTCCCTATCCTTGCCATGGTGCAGGAAGGAGAGGGGAGACAGCAGGGGAGGCAGATGCCCAGCCAGCCCCAGTGCACCCAGCTGGTCCTTCTCATGCTTCAGAGTGCTCTGCTCTGAACCAGCCCTTCACTCTCTCTTCTGTAAAACTTTCTGAGAGGAACTTGTGTTGCCCTTCTTGATGGCTGTGATGACTGTAACACTTTTAGAAAGCTTCCTCAAGGGAAGCAAAAGTCTACAAGGCAGGAGACACGTGTTTTCTCCCGCCTTGCTAGGAATATTGTCGTTTTGCTGTCCTGCCTCTGCAACTGTGTCTGTGCAAAAATCCATACAGGTCAAACCTGAATAGGAATCACAGAATGTCCCTGTCTGCTCAGCGACCCACATCAGCACCAAGGGCTGCTCCTCCTTCCACTTTTAAGGGCATCACTGCCCCAGTCTGGCACCTTGCCTGCCCCTGCCAGCCCTGTGAGGACAGGAGTGGAGCAGAGCACAGTTCTGCCCATGTCCCCATTGTCACAGGCCTCTGTCATGGCCCAGTGAGCCTACTTAATTCACAGCCAGACTGCTCCCATCACCAAACCCCTTCCTGAAGCTTTGCGCATCCTTCTCCAGGGTTTCGTCATGTTTTGATGCTGCAAATAACCTGGCAAACACTAAAACAGCTTCAAACCCTGCCAGCTCCTTTGAAAAGGAAGCAGTAACCGTGCTGGGAGTGCCACAAGCACTGTCATTTGCTCGTACATATGTTGGAGCTGTGAGGCTCCGCTGGTGTTGATAGTGCAGAGCATTAAGTATGCAAATAGCTCTTACTCGGTCTGGGCAAACAGCAATAACGAGGCAAGAACAACTTTATCTAGACAATCTTGTGATAATTAAATGTCAATTCCATGTTTCTTTTCACAGCCAACTTGATTTGAAGCTGGTTTGCTTTATTACCATTTAGATACTCTTCTAATGCCCAATCCCATTTAACTCCTAGGTCTGCTTTTCAGAGGGAAAAATATGCCTGTAACACACCTGCGTCTGCCTTGCTCCTTCTGTCCCAGATGACCATTTAAAGGGAATTAAGGATGTGCTCAAGGAAGAACAAAAATAGAAATACTTGGAATGAACTAACGGTTACCATCTGAAATATAATAAAATTGTATTTAAACATATACACTCCTACACCATGGATACAGAGACTCGAGCAGGAATAGATGAATGAGGTATCCTTGGGAAAACCATGCCACACAGCCCAGGGGCTCTCTGTGAGTTTTGCTGAGCACTAACAGCCTTGATAAGTAACAGTGAGTAGGTTCAGTTAATTTTCTTGGGGATGTCTCTTTGATACATGTGTTTTGGGACCAAGTAAAACGAGATGAGTAAAGGGCTAGTGGGAAGAGCACACAGAGCCATGAAAATCATGCCTGGAGCAGGCAGCATGGGTGGGGGACACAGTCCGCACACCTTGAAATGCAAATAGGAGCTGTAGGTGGTGAAAGGAGTCCAGGGCAGAACCACGGTGTACCGTCTGACTCAGAACTGGAAACCACAAGCTGCTGAGAAGCTCCAAGATATAAACCAGCCCATAAGTGTGAAAGTAATGCAGGGAGGGCAGGTCCAGTCCAGTGCTCAAACCGAGTTTCTGGCCTGGGAATTTCCTTCAGAGCTGATCCCAGATCCTGGAGGGCAGAGTACACCCCACTTGGGAAGCCAACCTCTGCTCCAAGGTGAACCAGGTGTCCCCCGTTACTCACATACAGACCACGAAGGCTGTTATGGAGACAACACACACAGAAGGGTGCCCCAGACCCTCACTGTGGTGCTTTTCCACGCATAGACAGGGCTGAGGAGAACTGGCCAGTGGGACCACAAATTTACAGCACCAAGCAAGACAGGGCAGCGCCTAGAGCTCAGCACACTGCACCTGGACTTCCTGTGGCAAGGGGCTCAGCATCCTGCTGCACCACCCATGACCGGGAGCAGGTAGTGACAGCAGGACAGGCCCAGAGACCATGGGCATCAGAAGAGGTGCAGGACTCCTTCCTGCCCCAGGGGTTCAGTCATGTGTTTCCAAGCGTCTGCTTGGCTCAGCATTCACCAGCCTGTCCATAAGGCAATGGGCTCCCACAGCCTTCCTAAGGAGAAGCGGTCATTTACCAGCTAACGTATAGGACACTGGAGACAGCTTGGAGAAAATAGCACCTCTGTGAGGAATCTGTCCAGCAACTGCAGCCAGAGTTTGTATAAGAAACCAGCACCTACCACGACAAAGAGCCCCAGTGGAAGACTCAGAGGTGCCCCAGGGAAGAATCAGCCAGACTGACCAATACATCTCACCATTTTATTAGTGTAAATGACCCCATCCACCCTTCTCTCCCCGCTATATTAAATACAAACCAGGAGCAGTGAGTGGCTCCTCAGTCTCTTTCTCCTTAGGAGATGCACAGCCAAACCCTCTGCCATGCCCACCAGTGTCAGGCACCATGCCCCTCGACCTCAAGGGCCGTGCCACTATGGGGAGGGCTCCCACCTCTGTCAGGAGGCTCTCGTCTGAGGGCTGCGACCTCCGACGTCCTATCAATACTGCGAAGGCCAAAGCGGCCTGGGTCATGGTTCCCATGGGGAGCAGCTCATGGTACATGAATACAGCAGGATCTCCTCTAGCACCCCCTACACCCATCAGTCCCAGGGGCCAAGTCCCCCACATCCCAACCAGCAGGGAGCACTCCAGCTCTTTGCCAAGTGGCAAAACCCCCAAATCAACCTTCTTATTGCTCCTTTGGGGTGGGATATGCCCCATCCCACTGTCCAAGCCTGCATCAGATGCAGGGACATGGCCTTTCCTGCATGACCAGGCCAATGCTCCAAAGGAGCAAGGGGTACAGGCCTGTCCTGGGGCACTGGGGGAACCATGAGGGATCACTCCAGGTCCTGTGGCAGTTACAGCCCTGCAGAAGGGAGGCCCTAGGCTCTACGTTTCCCCAGTCAAGGTGGGACAGCAAGGGACAGGGCAGTCCATCACCTCCTTGCTGAGCAGCAGGGCCAGGACAGAGGGATGGGGTCAGCAGCCAGCAGCTCTGGGATGAGGAGCCAGGCATTCCAGCCTGCAGCTCAGTGACTCTGACCTGATCTTGCCCTGGGGTCTGCACAGCCATGGCCACTCCGGAAAGATCCAGACACCCTGGGCTGGCAGACCCCAGACCAGGCAGGCCCAGCAGGACAAGTCAGGAGCATGGGCACCAGCAGTCTCTGGAAGAAGGAAGACAGATTTGGGCAGCAAAAGAGGTGGGGTGGGCAGGCATGGCATGGTAGGACCAGTCCCTCCACACCCCAGGGTTCAGGTGCTGTTACCCTGCTCCTGCTCAAAAAGCACCATGGCCAGCTGGGAGCGAGAGCCTACGCCCTCCAGGCTGCTCTGCACACAACGGTGATAGATCTCTTCGCTGAGGCGGGGGTTGCAGGCCTGGTGTCGGTAGCGCTGCAGCAAAGCAGGCTCCACAGCCCGGAAGACATGGAGGTTGGAGTACTTGATGAACATGTCATAGATGTCCAAGGTCTCCAGGATGTCCTCATTCTCCTGCACGTCACCTGCCATGCGGGTGCGTGCTGCCATGTAGTCGGCATTGTAGAAGCAGGCTTCGTGGAAGACATCGCGGTCAAAGCGCCCCACGTCCCGCAGCAGGTCCAGTGTGGTGGGTGGCACCTGGTTGTGGTAAGCAATGGCTGGGTTGTAGCCCTGGAAGTGGATGGGGAAAAAGACCTGCCAGTTGTTTATAGTGTTCATCCGGCAGCGGTTCCGGAAATCGATGGTGACCTCTGTCCCCACACCAGCCACGAAGAAAAGAGTGTCCACAGGATGCTTCTTGGAGATGATGTCCATGACCTTGATTTGGGAGGGTGCATCTGTCTTAACGCTGATCCATGGGATCTTTACCTCTGCATACTTGCGCTCATACTCAGTGATCTGGGCCTTCACAGAGGCAAAGATGTCGTTCTGGGTGACCTGTTGGGCCTCAAAGGGGTCATAGATGAAGAGGAAGGTGAGCACTGCATTCTCGCTACTCTCAAAGGCAGCTGCTGCATAAGCCTCCAAAAAGCGGGTAGCATAGTCCCGGTCATGAGCCGTCAGTGGCAGGATAACATTGATGCGACTGGCCTCTGTCACATAGGGCATGGGGATAATCTCCACCTCACTGAGAGGACGCACCAGGTGCACGCGCTTAGTGACAGAGCGGCTGTGCCCCTTCTGGGTGACCACCTCCACCTGAAGGTCCAGTGTGTACTCCATACCACGCGTGGGGTCAAAGCGCCGGTACCCATTCACCAGCTGCTGCTTGCGGACGTGGAGCACCGGCTGGTACTTGCGATTCAGTTCCTCTATGGCCGTGGCCACCACGTCAGCCACATCTGCCAGATCTGCGCCATGCAGCTCGCACTTGGGGGAGCCATCCACACAGGCATAGACCTGTTCCTCCGTGAAGTAGTCCCAGCGCAGCACTTCAAAGCGGGTTTTGGGCTGGAAGGGGGGTGGGATGCCGATGGGCCATGTGGCACTGTGGTCCCCATCAGCAGACAGGCTGCTGGCATTCTGGATCTCCAGCTGCAAGAGGAGAGATAGAGGAGTGAGAGCTAAGATGGGCACAAGGATGTCTTTCAGCTTTGGCTGCAGCCAAGTTGACTCGTGATACTCAGAGATAAGCCTGAGCTGGCTCAAAGAGCGATGCCAGAACAATTCTGCCTTTAACCTGACTCCTGTCTAGCACCTCAGGTTTACTTCAAACAGGTTTGTTCCTCCACCCTATCTGGCCTTTGCTGACAGACCTCTGCACCCTGCTGACTTCATCACCCTGAACCACCACGTCTTCAGGACCCATGCAGGTCCAAAGCTGCTCTCCAGACAGCACTGGTGCCTCTGTAGCCACGTGGGCTCAGCTGACCCTGTCCCACAACAGGCTCAAGTGAGAAACCCACATATTAGAGTGATGATGCAGAGAAACCAGAAAGCCCATAGGGATGACAGAACCAGCCAAGACCCACTCAGTCTACCCAGGTCTCACCTGGAGCTGCTGGATCTCCTGGTAGGTCCTCTCAAGTTCCACCTGTGCAAAGTACTTGTGCAGCCGGTACATCTGCAGGGGATCCAGCACAGGGTGGACAGTGAAGGCACTCTGGAAACGGAGGTCGGTCTCCCGCTCAGGGTCCGCATTCTTCCCAAGCTCAAAATAGTGGTAATGCAAGCCCTGTGTTGGTAAGGAAAGACAGGTCACAGTCAGCCCCAACCTGCACTCCCACCCTGCCAGATTGCAGCACAGCAAGTTCAAATGATGTCAGGGTGCAAGGGCTGGTTTTTCCAGGACCTGGGAGACCACAGGGAGATGGGCAAACACTGAGCCAGAATCCAGCCATCTCCACTGCAGGACCTACCTCATGTTCTTCAGCACAGTTGACACCTGTGTAGTCAATGATGCAGCGGCCCAGCCACTCATCGGGCCGGGCGCTGAGGATGTCATTGCGGCAGCTCTCCAGGTGCTGCTGCAGGAGCAGGAGGAGGCTGCGGGACAGCAGGTAGCCAAACCCTCCATAGCAGTAACGTCCCTCAGTGTCCCCACCAATAAACTCCTCAGGACGGCCCAGGTAGAGGTGGGTGTCAATGCTGAGGTGGGCAACCAGGCGGTTGATGCGATGTGCCTCTGTGTAGGTATCATCTTGCACCAGGAAGAACCAGTCGAAGTCATTCACGTAGTGGTCCAGAAGGTACCTGACAGTCTGGTACATGTTCCAGATGGGCCGCTCGTCACTGTGCGTCACCACTGTCATGCCGTG